TATCAATAACACTGTTCCAGAACACCCCTTCCATTCACTTCTACGCAATCCAAGCAAGTTGAACAACAAAGCTAGTTTTTGTAATCACCCCTCTCCATGGGTCACAGGGGCAAAGGTGCTTATATATAAAAACCCAGATTCAGGTACGAGTACATTTCCTCTTTCTGTATGGACATATTGGCAGGTAATTATAAACTCCATCGGGAACTGTGATCAGCTTTCTTCTCACAGTAATCTTGCTTAGATAATTTACTGACATTATGCAAATACACCATGAAGTGTCAATATTGCTGTCACTGAAGGTGTCAGAAATTGAGTCTTTGGGCTGATGTTTTCTGTGACTAAATAAAAGGCACTTTTTTGGTTTTTTGCTGCCCATGATCAAATTTTTTCATCTCTTCCCCCACCCCCACAAAAGCTTTCTAGGATTGGCTGCTTTCAAAACTTGGAGCTTGAAAAAAAATCATGTTTTCTTTGCTGACATCCATATGCCTTGATATTATGTCCCACCTGTCCAAAAAAGAAATACAATTTTTAGAGACTGCACTGCATGGATTAATCTGATGCTTCTCTACTCAGGTGGAAGCTCCACTGTGTTAAATGGGGCTTAATTCCAGACAAGTGTGCAAAGGTTTGCCCACTTAGCTTCCTTTTTATTAGGTGTCTACTTCCTATATCATCACCACTACCATGATTGCCATCACTGTACTTTTAGACTGCCCAAGCAGTGAAATCCTTTGGGTGGCATAGAATACATTAAAAAAACATAAAATGCAAACATAAAAACTGCATGCAGATCAGAATAACCAAATTAAAATGAGCAGCAGAATGCAATAGTACTAATAGTACAAAAGCACTAATGGAAGAATAAAAGCAGCCTAGAACGAAACTGACGTAGCTGCCAGCTGGACGCTTTCGAGGAGAGCACTCCAGAAATGGGAAGCCAACATGGAACAGTCCCTCCCTTCTGTGGCCACCCACTTCATTTCATCTGGAGGAGCAGGATTTTATTTTTGGATAGATCAATGAATGGTCTGGGTAGATAAAATCCTACCAAGATGGCTTCCAGAAACATTGGAAACCTAAAGGGGTGTGTGTGTAAACAGAGTACCAAAGAAGAAGATACACCATTGGAAATAGACATTCCTGCCAGAAGCTTCTTTCTGTCCCTCTTGCTGTCTCCTTGCCCAAATTCAATGAGGGCTAAACTCGTCCCTCCGTTGTTTCTTTGCACACTCTGGAGAAGTACATTTGTGTTTCATCTGAGCAATCTGCACTTTGCAGCTTCTCAAGAGTCTTTCCTTCCATCTTGATGGAACCAGATCCCTCCCCTCCTTTACAAAAGTAGGGCAGGCAGCGATGTATGTCACCTCTACTCGTCTTGCTGGCACAGAACATCATGAGTGTTTTTTCTTAGCTCAGCATACCATCAATAAGCAGAGTATGCAAAAAAAGAAAGAAAGAAAGAAGCCAAAGCCATGTTTATTTTTTAATTGTGTGTGTGTGTTAGTGCATTGCTTAATTTTTCCATGTATTTGTGTGCAATTCAAGATAGTAAAAAAAAAGATCTACAGGGCAGCAGACTCTGCATGGCTTGGAGGATGGGCTCCTCTCTACTTTCCCGGCTCTAGATAGCCAGTTTTGGCTATCTGCCACTGCTGCTTCAGAGGGGGGAGACTGGGGCACCATCAGGAGATGCCTTCCCCACCATGGTGGCCTTCATAGCCATTTGGACCACAGCTTCCAGAAATCCCATCCAGCAGGGCCACTGACTGGGAATTCTGAATGTTGCAATCCAAATGTGTCCAGAACACACAAAATTCCACACTCTCCTTTCACAGATTACAAGTATGCCTGCTTTAAAAAATGTTTAGTCAGGACCATAGTAATCCCTACTTTGCCTCTAAGTAACAGGATGGAGTGAATTATTATTTATCACAAAGGAAGATTGAGTTTTGGCCCAGAAGCAGCCTTAGTTTGATTGGTGAATCTCACTAATGTTTTCATAAATTCTCATGCATATATATAATACACACACACACACACACACACACACACACACACAAACATCTCCATCCATTGCAGTCCACATATTTTTCATGAATAATTAAACACAACAAATTCCAGCATATTTCCAATATGGCTCAAGGGAGTGGATACTTCACTGTTGAAAGATTCTAGCAGAGAATTCTGCTCCTGATTTTAAGGACCTAGTCTCAGAGACATGGTTATATTCAGGATTATTTGCACAACAATTAGAGGCCCAGCGTATGTTATGATTTTAAAAGGGATCTTTCCCCAACCCCTCTAGCAAGTACATTTCCTTATAATGCCAGTTGAATTTGATATTATTTTAGATAATATCCACCCCCCTCAAACTAGATACACACATTATTGTTCCAGCTGCAACCATAAAACCTTGAAGCAGAGATTGACTCCAAGTCGCAAAAGGAAGCTGCATTAGAGGCAGAACAACATATTCAAATTTTCTATTTCCCCTGTAGCTTAAAATCACATCTCCAGCATTCATTATCGAAGTGACATCCTTGTTCCTCAATGGGATTAAAACATGCTATACCTTTTTTTTCCCCTGTCTTGGACCCATCGGGATTCCTGTTTTTACAGATGTCAATAGCAAAGCTAACTGATTACCATGGAAACTGGATTAGGCCAACCAAACAGTGATAACAATGGGAAGAAATTTACCATGAGCTCTCTTCCGTGGTACAAACTCAAGAAGCAAAATTCTTGGCTGTGTCTAGGGAGTTCCTGTGGTGAGCCATTCCTTGCCTTTGATTTCTGGAGCAGCATCCCTCGGGAATTGCCCATAACCTTAAAGTTTCCTCTGGTCACAATGTAAAGATGTACAGATTACGGCAGGGTCATTCCAAGGGTACTCAGAAGGAGAGTTCTCAGAAGCAGTTGCTGGATTGGTTCCACCAACTGCTCTGTGCATCCTCAGATGCATTTTTTGTTGGTTGGTCTTGCTGGAAGTGCACTGGAGAATATTTGCCAAAGAACCATCTGTGTTCTGGGGGGTGGGGGGGGGAAGCTGGCCCACAATGCCATCCTTCAGGGGAGACAGTATACCTAGCAAGGCATTGGGTCTTTACAACATACATGGGTTTCAATCCCATGTCGCAAGCAGTATCCCTCAACTACTATTCAAAGCAAGGAGTTTCTGGCAGCTACTATTTGCAGGAAAGAGTCCCCCACAGCAACTATGGCTCCTCCACTTGATTGGCACCCCCAAAAGACTCCACGCATATCTTTTCCTGTCTCCTCACCTCTCTGTCCCCCTTTGACCCAGAAAAGTCCATCTTGGAGATTGCTTTTGCTACCTTGGAGTTTCATTGGACACTCCCTATGCCAGCTGAAAGGACAGAGGTTGGGAGCTCCAGCTTGGAGCCTCACTTCCTCCATCAAAGGAAGTTTCCAGGGCCAGGACTGCAACTCCAAATAATCCTTTGACCATCTAGATGCTCTCTAGCAGCATCGGTCTGGACGCTTGGATGCAATCCTGAGCAGGTTCCTACTCAGAAATGACCCTCCTTCTTACCTAGCCTTCTACTAGGTAAGAGGGCACATGAAAGTACCAAAAGAAGTGCTCCGTTGATTTTATTGAGTTAGGCACAAGACATAGATTTATACTCTGGCTTCCCCATTATTTAGCATTTCCCATTTCATTTACAAGCAAGAAACATTGCAAACCCAGCTAAATTCCATATGTGATGCTGCAAAGTCTAGTTTGTGAATTCCACCAGGATAATTTATACTGTCTCAACTTCACTTAACCTGCCAAGACAAGGTCCTTTCTCCTCTCAGCACTGACAGAGCCATTTTATTACCCCATGGGAATGGCATTTGAGCAAAAGTGGCTGCTTTGTCACTCCATCTTGCCTGGCTAACACATTGTCTGTCTGGGGCTTCATTCTAAGCATCAGTCAGACTCGGAATGCAAACTTTTCTGCAGTGATTGCAAGAAAGAATTTGACGGAGCTCAAATCTGTCAGGAAGGAAGGAAAGCAAGAAAACCAGAAAGAAGTGCAGGGAGAGAGGGAGAGAGACAGACACTGGAAAATCATCTGCTGGCAATTCAAAGTGGGGTTCATCTGGCCTTCCAAGTGTCAAACTGTCTGGAGAGTTTCCACAGATAGAGAAGCTGTTCCCTTCAGAAATCCATATTCCACTTTTAAAGGGCAATGAAAGCAGCAACACAGTGGGTTGAATATTTAACTGGAAGCAGAGCACCAGACTAGAGGTAGGAGCTGTGAAATGCTTATGGAGTTTCCATAAAGGCAAACAGAGTAATACAGAAGAGGATTAGCATGAAGGGGGAGTTTTATGGCATTGGGATTCCTTTTCAGAATATAAGCTTGCATGACTTTGTTAGATGGGAGAGGTATTTTTGAATAAACAAGTGATAAGTAAATCACAGCACATGTCTGGAAGGGCTTTTGTTCACACAGTGCATGTTCTGTGAACATGTGAGAAGATGGTGCCCATTAGCAGTGCTGCATGCTGATGAAAATAATGGCCATATCTCCTGGTAGCTGCATGTTTGATGTCAACATTAAAGGTGTGTCTGTGTGTAATGTGTCAACAATGAAGACATTGAAATTGTGGATGTTCTTGCATAGTTTGGCTCAGTCATCAATTCAAAGGGAGACTGCAGCCAAGAAATTTGAAGAAAACTGAGACAGGGAAGGGAAGCAATGAAGGAACAAGAAAGTGCGAGGTTGCTTCACTGGCGATTTAGGTCAAGGTCATCTGACTCACTGTATTCCCAATCACCATGTCTGGGTGTGAAAGCTGAATAGTGAAGCAAGCTGACAGGATGAAAACTGATGCCTTCAAACCATTGTGGTGGAGGAGAACTTTGTAAATACCCTGGATTGACTGAAAGTGAACAGGTAGGCCTCAGGTCAAAACAAGTCTGAAAAGTGACAAAACCGAAGCTGTTCTACTTTGGGCAGTCATGAGAAGGCCAGATTCACTAGAGAAGACAGTCATGCTAGGGAAGATCGAAGGCAGCAGAAGAAGGGAAACCCAACATATGAGATGGATTGCTTCCAGAAAGAAAGCCACAGTCTTGCATAAAAAGAGCTGACCAGGACAATCAAGCACCTTTTGGAGGTCATTCGTTCCTAGAGTTCCCATAAGTTTAAGGATGGGAACATGTGTAACAGCACCATGTGTATAACAATGGACATATCCAGGGCTCTTCCATTCAAGTAGGAATGTTGATCACTTGATAAACTGGATTGATGGAGCAACCTATACATACAGATGAATAGTAGGTTGTATGGCAGCAAGAAGTGAAGCAGCATCCATACTGGAGTGGTTGTGGCATAAGTAGCCACCCTTCTCCCTTTCTGAACATGCCTGGGGATTCATTAGAGTACTGCAGAAGTCTATACAGATTTGATCCTGGTGGAGGTCAAAACTCTGGATGAGGTCACACACCTACTCCCAAACTTGTACTGGCTGTGTGGAGAAGCCCTCAGTCAAGTTTTGCTAAAGATCCCTATTTCCAGGGCCACTTTGGCTCCAGAATCTTCAAATTATATTATGGCATCACCGTAACTGCCAGCACAGTCACTTAAAAGTTCAGTTTGCCAGATTGTCCAATAAAATAAACTGTCAGCATTCAATTTGTTAGTGTGAACATTGTTAACCTACAACAGATACAGCATAAAATGGGTAAACCATCACCTGGGATGAATTGTGTTCCTAGGGACTCCTTCAGGAAAAAGTACTGACCTTCCATAAAGTAGCTCATTCTATGGACCTCTTGAGAACAAGGACAAGGAATGCACCAAAATTGATTGTAAACATTAATATCTGGGTTTTATGCCCTCTGCTCTCTCTTCCTGAAGCAGGTGGGGCAATAGTCATTTTCATTGTTCTTTGGGGAAACAATGTTTTGAACATTACATCTGCTCATGAAATCCACAAACCCAGGGAGCAACTGTTGCAAGCCAAAGTTGCTCTTCAAGCAATCACCAGCCACAGGCTGTTTTCCAGAACTTTCTTTATTGCTCCCAAGTAGAAACCACAGAGTGGTTTGTTGAACCTCCAGGAACTCTCCTTATGAACATGCCTGGGCTCCATCCCTTCAGGAGGGGATTTCTGAAGGCAAGCATGCCTCCTCCATCCAGCCTGATGTGCCTGATCCTTCCCAATCTTGGAAGCTAAGCAGGGTCAGCCCTGGTTGGAAACTGGATGGGGGACTTGAGTCCTGCACTGATCAGGTGGTTGGACCCCATGGCCTTCTAGGCCCCATTCCAAATATATGATTCTAGGAAATGTGCAGAGGGAGAAGAGGGGAATTATGGCAAGAGTGTTTGTTATGAGTCTTTATAAGCCTTGCATACAATGTAAGTACAGTTGGATGGGGGAAACCACCCAAAGAGTCATTTGGCTAATGGTTGCTAGAAATTAGTTAAATAAATAGGAGCGGGAACCCCACCCCTCAAAGCTCAGTAGATCAAGGTGGCTGAGGGCCGCAAGGAGCTATAGTGTAAGGAAGAATATTTTATTAATAGGGGATGGTAGAACATGTGGCGAGAATGGGAAGATGGAGTAGGGAGCATGGGAACCATGTTTCCATGGGAACTGTGAGACTGTCTGAGTGACAGGTTTGGACAAAAATCTGACAGTGGAAAAGCAGTGCAGCTTTGTTTGGTGTGATGTGCGAACTCTGCCAATATGTAATTGTTCCTTCCATTGTAGCGAATTTTATTGTTGAAATCACAGACATTACAAAAACCAAAAACATGCATATTAAGTACACCCAAACTATAAATACAGAATAACTGAAACAGTTACAACCCCAATGGATAAATAAAATACTGAAAGCAACCTAAAACAATATTTGGCCAGATTTCTGACAGAATTAATGGATAAGATAGTCTTGGTAAATTTAAAAGATAACATAGAAAATTTGCCACTTGGTAACATAAGGAAATACATCCATGAGCAAAAAATTAATACAGCCCGCTTCTGAGCCAGAGAAATTATCCATAAGTTGAGCCAGCATCCTCCCCCTTATAGTGCGATAAAAGGGGCAATGAAGGACACGATCTGTTAAATCCTCCACTGTCCCTGGTCACTGGGAAAAGGCAGTGTCTCCAGGGACTGCAGAAAGAAATCTCCCCTCAAGATATGCTGAAGGCATGGCTTGAAAATGCAAGCTGGAAACTGCCTTTCTCAACAGTATGATGAAATAAATGTATTTTTCTTCAGAAAAGAATACCAGAGAGACAATCTGGAAAGGTGAATTAGAGCCGTATCTCAGGCAACATCTCACACACCAGGCTGGGCTCAAACTTATTTTCTTTAACGGAGGAAGGGAGGGTGTTTCTCAGACTCATGCCAGCACTTTTTCCCACTGATTCTCCTCGTAATAGCTTGATTTAACTAGATCTCCTGACAAGCTGTCAGAATGGCCTTTAAGTGTGCATGTGAAGCAGGAGGAAATAGAAGAGATTTTTTTTTTTAATCTGAAACATACTTTGAACATCAGAACATAGTCAGGGTTTTAAAAAATTGTGAAGTGATTTTGCTATTGTTGTTGACATAGCAAGGAATGTAGCAAGATCCATTTAAATGAGACTCCTTGATATTTTCTCCTGTCCTCCATATGATGCTTTTGCATAAGGCCTTTACTGAAACATTGAGAAGGCTTCAGTCTGCAGAAATCCCAAAAGCTGTGTTGTTTTATTCCTAGGAACCTACTTGATTCTGCTCCAATGGAAAAAGCAATGATTGCTTGGCTCCTTTAGTCCAGGAAAAATGCAAGGCTTTCAAGATTACTCATGTACACAATAGAGTGGAAGTCCCAGACAAACACTTCCAGAATTTTAAGTTTAGGATGTTCTGCTCTACCACCTCAAACTTCTGAACCAGACCTGTTGACAATTTGAGGTGGGGGAGTGATTTCAGGGCAAGATGTGAATAGGGATATATGTAAAATGTGTCTGGTTGTGAGTAACATGCCCCCACTTTGCATCCAACTCCATGTTTGGTGTAAAAGGTGCAATCTGTATTTAAAGTCTGCACATTTCCAAGCTCATGACATAATTTTCAGTCCCCCAAAAATGTGTTTGACAGCATGCATATATTTAAAAGATGTCTACAGATGAATACCAGTAGACATTTTCTGTCAAGCAAACCTCTGATTCTATCCCTGTAAGTTCCTGACTTTCCAGATACCACCTCTCCCAAGGGCTTGAGGGTCTCGGCTCCCAGTACTGGATCAGAGACCTTGTCCCCCACAGGTGATATTCTCCTGGTAGTCACCCCTAAGGACTTGGGCTCTTCCTGGTTCTCCTGGGGGTTGCTAGTGTTGGGTGATTTCTCATCCTCCAGAGAGGCATCTTGCAGTGGGGAGGCATCACATCCCATCCTTGAAACATTCCATGAATCCCACAATTGCTCAGGGAGAAACATTATGTTGAAATGAAGCAGCCTTCCTAAAGAAACTGTCGGACACAAACATGGTGCTGCCAGCATCTGGAGTCCAGAAGGAGCTCTTCTACGTAAGAAACAGTTCTACAGAAAGAGAAAAGCTCCACAGCTCCTAGCACACCAAACCATGCTGCTAGGTCTTCTTTTCTGTCCTAATTGTGCCTTAATGCCTCCTTTCCTCCCCCTTAATCCATTTCTTAAATCTATAGAAATGTTACAGATAGATCTGTTGTCCTTGATTTTCTCAAACTCCTGAGACAGGGATGAACCATTTCAACCCCTCCCCAAAATGAACTTGATTAACTCATATGTTCTGCTCCAGTTGTCTTCCCGCAAACAAAGATAATGTGGAATATTGATTTTCTGCATGCACCCTCACACTTTGCTCACTGAACATGTTTTTGCTTTGAATTATTTATTTTATTTTGACTTCATGAAATTCATTTCTGAAGAAATTTCCTTTCCAGAGTATTTGCTTTCCTTTCTGCAAAGCTCCTGGAATTTCTTTTTAGTCTTTCAGTACTCACAGTAAAGATTCCAGGGGAAAAACAAAACAAACCACAGCAAACCACGGATACCAATATTATTAGCAGTGTTATGGTTAAAAATGATCTAACAACCCCAAACCGAGAAAGATGCTTTGCAACAGATGACTTGCCATCAACTGTATTTAAACCTGTGTACTCAAAAGTAATGGAGATGACCCTGATGCTGGGAACAATTGATGGCAAAAGGAGAAGGAGATGGCAGAGGATGAGGTGGCTGGATGGAGTCACTGACGCAGTCGGCATGAGCTTAGGTGGACTCTAAGAATGGTGGCGGACAGGCGATACTGGAGAAATGTTGTCCATGGGGTCGTGAGGGGTTGGGAATGACTTTGTGACTAAACAAACAAAAAACTCAGAAGTGAATCCTATTTAGGTCAATGGGACCTGCTCCCAGGAAACTCTGCATTGGGTTTCAGATTTCAACTATAACCATCCCCACAAATTGTAATAATGCAGGCTGGGAGTGTGAAGAATGTTACTTTCTGCTTAATTTACTGCCTGAGCATTTCATAGGTTGATTGTGAGTTCAGGGAAGGGAAGGTTTCCTCCTCTAATTTGTCCACTCCATTCATGAGCTCATAAAACTCAGTAATCCCCACCTTCTAGTGAGGGGATGGGTTTCCCCAGATATTAGTGGATTGCAACTCCAACCAGACCAAACCAGCATAGCCAATAATGAGGAATAGGGGTATTTGGGGCCAGAAATCACATTGTGACTTTGGAAATGGTCAGACCTTCACTGCCATTTCTGCTGTGTTCATCCCTGAATGTGCAAACTGGGTAAATCCATTTTAAAAAGAAAATGAGCAGAAATAGCTCCAAAAAAAGAAAGACAAACGGGAAAGTAAAGCCAGCCATTGCAAGTGAAAAGGCTTAACAATGATCACAACCATGCTTTGAAAGCATTGGTGAAATTGTATTTGCTTCAAGACAGGTATGTAGACAGGGACCACCAGAGGGTCATTATCAAGATCACTGAACATCTCAAAGTCAAGGATTTCATCTTGAGTAATGAGTGGGGAATAATTAGAATTAGACCTAATTGTCTCTTCAATCATCATCATTTGGAGACATGCAGCTGCTGAGAGTCTGAGCTTACTGGGACCAGAAAATGCTTTCAAATATCCTTTACACCCTGACATCATGATGTTATGGCCTAATAAAAGGGAGTTAAATAAATTAATGCAACCTGTGACTTCTGGCACTTGCTCTCTTTCAAATGGCTCAGACTTGCTGTGGTCATTATGATTAATATGATTTAAATTGACAAAGGGCTGCCCCCATTATAATTGCTACTAATGATGATTATTCAGAGATATAGAAGAATGTCTTGGAGCCAAACTTTTTTTTTCTTTTTTTGGAGGGGGTGGTATCTTAGCCAAATTGAGCTCAAACCCTGAGAAAAAATGATGATAGGTCTATTACCTTTGCACTTCATTTGAGTTTACACACGATCTGCAATAACTTTCTCAAGCACTATCTCTTACCAGATTATTGACATGGATATATTCTTTTTCATTTCCAAATGTACACTTATACTAAAGTACATCAGTGTAAGTGTGCATTTGGAAATGAAAAATTCAGCTCCAACCCGACATCAACAACTGGTCCACGCTTGGTGGCAACATGAGATGGGGCTTCCTTGATGGCCATTGCCAGGTTCTGGGAATCCAAACTTTCCATCTTGGTTTGAGCAAAGCTGTAAAACAATCAAGCTGAACTTTGGCATACAAGCAGAACTGTTGTGTTAGTGGCTGTGCTTATTAGGTCCTTGTGTCTTTAAATGATTTTAATTCATTTGTTATTTAGTTGTATTTTCTTTATCATAAAACAACTTGAGTGTCATTTTTCTCAGTACAAGAATGATACTAGAGTCATTTTCAGAGCAATACGGTAATAGAACCAGCTGCCTAGAGAGTTGGTGGGTTCTTCCACACTAGAGACATTCAAAAAGAAACTGCACAGCCATCTGAGTAGAATGCATACTATAAAGCAAAGATATGCATAATGGATCCTCACATTTGGCATGAACACCTGTGGACATTTTCATGTGGAAAGACCTACCCACATGCCAAAAACAAATACTGCAATCTGACACGGACACAAAATGAAGGGAACTTCAGGGTGGGATTTGAAGAAGTTTGATGAACTTACACTGGATGACAAATGAAAATGATCTCCACTCTGTGATGAGAAACCATGCTGCAGGTGCAAAGCTCCTAGCTATGGTGACAGAGCCTCAACCCCCGGGAACAAATGGCCAACAGCCCTGCCAGCACATTGACATCAGGGGAGCAAAACTCATCTGGAACGCAGCCTAGGAACTCTAGGTATAGAAAGATGCCCCCCTTCAAAACCACTCAACAGGGTAACCCACTCCTCATGTAAACCCTTTCAGAATTTCTCCTACAAATACAGCTGTGGAAATTGGATGACTTTTCCACTGCAGCATCACACTCAATCGGCATGAATTGCTTTCCGATCACAGCTTTCTCCTAATCTCCTATTCCTTATGGGAGTTCTTCTCACTTCACTCATAGACACTGGACTGCTGAAATTGTCAGCAACTCCCCAGAGGTGGACAGCATAGCTCTCTAGCTGCCAGCTTCCTTCATCCACTCCCTTCTGAGTGCAGCCTACCGCTGCAGGGAGCATGAGACTTTTTCAGCATGCCTGCCTCTATAGGGTGGCCCAAACAGTGGCAGATGGCAAGGTGCAGTTGGTGAACAGGACTTCTTGTGGCTGCCCCACATACAGAGCTGCACCCCATTGTCAAAAGAGTGGAACTGCCTGAGTAACTCAGCCAGTCATCCATCCAGGGACTATGCTGCTTTTGACACAACAGTAAAAGATCTTATCACATTGCAAACTGTATTTTCTCTTTCTGATTACATTTTAAATGATATTTTGCCTGCTTCTGTCTCGAATATTTTGTCTCATACTTTTCCTTTTAATGAACAAGTTTCCTTTTTAATGGATGTGTTACAAAGACAACACACCTGTGCTATACTTCAAAAAAGCTTTGTTCAAAAGACAGGTGATGAAAGAGGAAAAAATTGAAAGCCTTCCTTGATAATCAAGCAGGCTGGCATGCTTTGATGTAAGCATAGATGTTTTAATTCTAACTTCCTACAGTAGCAATATAGAAAGGTTTCGAATTCTGAAACGGGGACTTCTCAATCTTATCATCTACTTCCAAATATCTTCTGCTTTCATAAAGTTTCAATACTCTAATGGTTGACTGGCAATGGATACCTTTGGAAGATGTAATCAAACTGAAGTCAAGAGGGCACCCCCAGTGCTAACCCACGAAAGGCGAAGACAGGTATTTATGTTGTCCTCAGGTTTGACATATGGTCAGGCTCAAGTTTATAAGCTAACCATGTCACATACTCATGGTTTTCACTGTTGCAGAACTGTCGGTTCAGTTGACTGCATCCACATCCTGTAAATATATTGGATATCAAAAGCAGCAGCAACAAATGCATCCCTTATTCTTCAGTTAACAATCCTTACTCCAGAACTTTAAAATCTACAGGGAAATTCAGATGAGAAGAATCTCTAACAGAGGAAAGAATACAGGTGAAAGGTTGGACTGAAGAGAATCTTACATGTTTTGATGTTATTGATGTAGGAATACTTGACAAAGCTAGAGATGGGTCAGAATCTCATTTCAGTTCTGTTTGGACAATAATTTCCCAATATGTGGATTAGTCTCCATATTTGAAATAAAGAACTGCCTTGAGATTTTTTAAAGGCAAATGTGGGGGAAAAGGAAAATTGGCCAATTGATCCATCCAAAGAATGAAATGCGAGTGCTTAGCTTAGCTTTTAAAATTCTGGGTTTGACTCCCTTTGTATTCAACCCTTTTCCTAACTATAAGGGTTGTCATTGCCACTTCTTCTTTCCCCACTGACAGGTTCCTCTCCTTCTTTAAAAGCTTTATTGCATGGAAGTGCGACATTGGAATTCCATCACTGGACTGGATATAGCTCTACCAACAAAATTTGCCCAGTGCAGTTGGGTGAAATTTTTGTTTCAGTATATTTGTTATAATAATTCATCAAATGCATATTGAGAGACAATGTGCATCAACATATGCACATTGCATTGCTTCTTGAATATCAGTACATGTTGCATCTGTAGATCTTAAGTGGCTTCTTATCATTCAGAGACATTGCTTCATGTATATTGGATAACAGAAGAGCCCTTTAAGAAGAGTTTGTCTAATCTGACTAATTGCTGATGATGCAATACAGCTGATGTTTCTTTTAAACATACATTTCAGCAATGCCCAGTAGCTGTTTCTTTTGGGGAGGATGATAATATATAGATACATTTTGTTCTGAAACAATTATTAATATTTACTGATGTACCTGCTCTTTTAATTATCTCCCTGGGCATTAATGAATGGTCCGCATACATGGATATCCCATGTCCTTCCAACAGTGGGGGAAAAAGGATATTACAATGTTAGAAGGACGAACACTCACCTCCCTTATGGAATAGTCTGAGGACCTTAGAATGATTTCAGTGTTTAAATGAGTGAAACATGGACACCACCTCCAAATAGATATTTAGCTGAATATCACAATATTAGCACAAGAGAGAACTTGGAATTTTTACAATGAATGTGGGTGAAAGCAAAGTATTTAGGGATCCATTGATTCATAAATAGTAGCACTAAAATAAAAGTTGTTTCAATGATCCTGCAGTGCTGTAATTTTTATCTTTCTGTTAGTGGCCAGGAATGTGGACAAACAGGAAGAATAAATGTTGGTTATCAGCACTGATTAACTCGTGAGATCTTGGGATGGGAAGGGACAAAAACTACAGATTTTGACCATCAGTTGAAAAGAATGAGTTAAGTTTATTGCTAATTATTAAATCACGGGGCCTCAACAGGTGCTAGAAAATATATTTATTTATTCATCAGTATTTTGTGTTCATACAAAGATTTTTTGCTAGCAGTGGATTAATTGCAAACCATTCTCTACTTGTTTAATGGTATTAATTTACATGAATTAATATAGAGCTAAACACTTGAAATGGTTTAGAAACTGTCTCATTCTTGTGTCACAGAGGGTCTAGGAGCAGCAAATTAGTCATTCTTCCACATTCTTAAGAACATAATCTTCTTGAATGTGTAAGTCTTGCTTTGTTACTTGTGTCTTGTTTAGAGCTTTTTCTTTGTTTTGTTTTGGGTTTTTTATTTTTGCTTTCTAATTAGACTGGATCATTACCTGGGAAGATTTTAACAACAAGCAATTAGATGATCCTAGTTGTCATCACATTTCCTTATCACTCAAGTCAAATTTGTCTTCAGAAAAGTTCACCATGTCCAATTATTTATTATTCTTTAGGATAAGTTCTTTTTTTGCAAATCGCAGAAGACATGAAGACTGGTTTTGTTATGTTTCCCCTATATATTCACTGGGTTCTCTCGTGCTCTAGCTATAGAAACAGTCATTTAAAAACCACACAAGATGTGACAGAAGCAGAAAATGTTTTTAGCAGGAGAAAGTGCATGAAATCTACCAGAGAAGACATGCCATATTTTCATCCATTTACCTGTATTCCACCTTTCATTGGGAAAAAAATATTCCAAAAGTGTTC